AATTTAGTTTCCCAAATAAGCCTAGGTAGGGTAGGAGCACCTGGGTGGCTGGGATGATTACCTCCTGCAAAAAAAAAGAAAAAAGGAAAAAAAACTCGCCCACCGCGTATGAGCAGTATATGACCCACTTTTTGATTTGTTTCATCTTTCTGCTTTCAGCATTAACAGGACATCAAACTATTTAATTGGCATAGTGAATTTCTTCGCATATGCCCTTCTACTTTTCACACTTATCAAGAAGAAAATGCTTTCGTTTGCCCGGAATAATGAGCTCAGAATGACCATACAGGTAGGCGCCATGCACGTGCTTTCCGTTTAAAATCGGAACGGAATTGAAAGCGTATTCGGCTCATTCAAACTAATCATTCGTTCCGTCGTTTTAAATATTCAGTCTTCTCATAGAAAAGTTGAAGAAAGCGAAAAAGTATTTTATTTCATTTTTCCGATTGATATGATGGGCAGAATCCGTTTCCATTTGTTTTTTTTAGCTATTTATCATACATTCTCAGGTATCGCTTATGATGGTCGGTGAAATGATGTTCTTTCTCTATTGGGAATTCATTGACGATAGAGCATACGAAGCGTGGGGTATGGTAATAAATGAAATCTCCAATCTGCTTTTCTATGATATGCTTATTCTTCCATACCTAATTTTGAACAGGTTTGGAGATTCAGCTCTTTCCTGCTATTCTGAGTATTACATGCCATAAAGTTTATTATCATCATTGAATATCATTGAATTCAGGAACATTCATGCCGAGCTGAAAAGCAAACTGGTTTCCAAGTAAGATGAGGGTATGTGGTGTGATATTAAATCGCTGATGCTTTCAGTAGGTCGAAATTTAGCAAGCGATATATCAGGAATTTCTCGGTTTTGAATTCTTTATTGAATTCTGTCAGGCCTCTGCTTTCACTGAACATTTAAAAATTGCTTCTCTCAATCCAACAAACCTCCGAACCCAACATCTTTCTAGCTCAACATCCTACTTTAAATGAAATGTATGTGATTATTCCATCAAAAGAGCAAACTGACCGTAGTAATACTAAGTTCTGATAGTTTCAATATCCTGGAGATGTTCTCTTGGTCTTTTTGGCCCCTACTCCTCAGATAAGTTTACTCGTGAGATGTCAAGGTAATAATGGCTGTTTTCAGGACCGTCAAACAGAATTAAGCAAGCAAATTACACAACTCCAATTGTGGTCTCCCTTAATCGGCAAGAGAATACATCACGACGAAGGCAAAGCATACGATCCAATCATTGAGTGATTTTCGGGAATAGACATCAGTAGGTACTTTTAATGAATATCAAAGGTATGCAGAGATCATACGTCCAAATGCATTTGTGGTTGGTGATTTGCTAGGCTTGAGTACCGTACGGAACTTGAAACTCAGTAATCCACAAATGAGGAGTGCACCCGATCGGGTATTGACTCAACACCCGATGTGACCGTTGCTTTTGTAATTAGTAGTAATATGTATAGCTGATATAAGAGTATCGCTATAGAATGCTTATATACAGAAACGTATTGGTAATACAGTAAGAAAAGTTAATGTGATATGTCAGAAATTGATATTAAAAATGTGATTCAGAAGGTTTTTGTTCACATGATGAATGAGAAAGTGTAATAAACCATTTTCTCTCTTGGAGTCAACAAGTTCTATACTTTTTGTTGCATTGTGTGGAGAACGGAAATGTGTAACCCGGCTACGTCAGTAATATACCACCTTTAACTTTAACTTTATTGCATGTGCACGCACATGAAAGGAAAAGAAATAAACAACCAACCACTGGAACAATAATACCTACCAGCAACACGAACACCCCCAACTATTGAAAACTACCAAGTCTATTAGAAAGACTATTAGAAAGATCGGGATTGAGATAGGGTAAAACAACAAACAACGAAAAAAAGAGCAGATTAATTCATAGGCTCTAACATTTGCCTCTTATTTGAGATCACGATGCAAGATCTGTTGAAATTGAGGTACACTCCTAGGTAAAGCAACTTTCTTGGAGATTTTGAGAAAATCGGCTGAAGCCCTGGCAGTGAAGAACCTGGCCCTGATACTGGTTCGCAGTCGAGGGACGGATGACTTGAATTTATCTCCTCTAGTATTGGAACACCGTATTTGGAAGAACTTGTGATGCTGACCTTGAAAGTTTCTGGTCAGATACATATGTACGCCCTCGAATTTCCACCATTTCATTGTCAGTGCCAAACCTTGGTTTAAGGGGATCACGCGAGAAAGGGATCACGCTAGATGAAGAGATGAGGTACTATAGCAAGAGTGAAGCACTATTGGATTAAGTGATTAGGTGGCTGACCACAACTCATTATCAAATTGGTTTCCGTAGATGAAAAAAATCTCAGGTACTCTATATGCCAACCTATAAAGTACCTGAGATATTTCCTGAATTACGGGAATCTTCTTAATTGTTTTGAGGAGTTAGAGAACGCCCATAGGGTAACTAAAGCCAGAATTATTAATTCAAATTGTGCTGGGCTACCGAGGGAGACGTATGACTTTTTTAGTATTTATAATGTTCTAAGTTCCCTTCGTGTTTATTGTAGACCACTAGGTGCATGTTAACTTTATCAACATGAACCGCCTGTAACGAGCTTTTTGAGAAACAATCAGCTTCTCCTTTGCCTTCTGAGTTTCTCAAACATCACCTGAGGGTGCTTTCCAACGCCCGTTTCTGGTGAATATGATCCTATGCTATGCCATGGATCTCCTGTTGTCGGAGCCAGGATTTGACTCCCTGAAAACAGACAGAATCATTCCTGAAGAACATGCTATTGAGCTTAGAATTCTCATCCGTGTTGCCTATTGAAAGCGTTTTCCAAGTCAGTGGCTATTGGTACATTCAGCCTTTGTTTTGAAACATTGCATTGTTACCAGTTGGTTACTGCCTGCCTGCGGTGGATCGGTATCTATAGCTCCGGTGCGACCGTGGCATCCCAGCCTACCCAAAGTCTGAACGCACTTTTGCAGCTTTATAGCACAGCGCCATTAGACTTCATGCATATTCCAATGCTTGTGAGTATTTCTAAGGTATGCTCGATGATGAATTCAGAGTCCCTTCAGGATGTTGTAAAATGATGTCGATTTTTGCCTCCGTAACAGCAGACAGCTGTTAAATTGAGTATTTCAAAACGTTCCTCTAAAAACAGTCAGAATGATTAGAAGTTCGGTCATAAGCCTTTTTCATGGAGTAATTCAAGGAGTGCTAGGGTGCTTGGATGAGAGAACAAAAAGAGAGTTGGCCGTCAATGTCTATCTCAATCAAATTAAGAAACGGAGATTATTAGCCGCTTGTGCTTCGAGAAAACGAAGTAGTTCGATATATTCGGCTGCTATCTTGAGTTCCTTGTTCCCTTCCTCTTGTTCACCGATCATTGATACCGCGGTGTGATAAGGGTGAAGTGTAGTCACGATCGATTAACTTCGTTAGGTTTGCCACCAAAGAGTGGTGGCTGTGCCTACTTACCATTCCGACATTCTTTAGACATCCTGAGTATTATTTATCTAGAAGCTCTGAAATCTTGATCCCGACTTTTGATTTTCTTTTCCAGAGCTCTAAAACTATCTAGACGACTTATCGTGGGCTCTCTACTCTACTGAGGCGTGAACAAAGCTTTCTTAATTACAAGTTCTGATCGTCAGTCGGCTCCGTTTGCTAAGGGTGCCCTACGAAAAAGTTTTTTTGCACTCGACTTTGATGTCTCTATCTGTGTCCATCATAAGAACAATGTGTTAGTGATTCGATTTCCTTCTAGGCCCTCAGAACTTCATTACGGTCCTTCTTCCTGCTCTCGTTTCATGACAGTAGAGGTTTTTCGATAATATCAATCGTCATAGTAGGGCATGGATTTACAAAATGTTCCGGCTGATGTGAAGGCGTACATAATGAATGCAATCCAGAAGGCGTCAAGGGTATGTTTATCTGTTTCGCATCAATTTGTTGCTTATGAAACTTCGATGCATGGTTCGATAAGTTCTGAAAGCTCGAGCAAGGATTAGTTTGTTGCTCTTTGTTGATTCTATTAATTGAACCTACCTACAATCAGAAGCGGGACTTCGTGACTAGACGCGGGAACGGGATACCTGGACCATTTCATTCCCTTATATAGATTTTCCGGTCTTACCATTAAAGACGCGGTCTGCAGCAAAATATTTTTTTAGATATCTTCTTGATACGATTCTACTAGGCTGGCTTTTGAGAAGGCTACATGTTGCATAGTCAGATCGAAACGCACCAGATAGGGCGTAGTGGGAGCTCGAGTACAGTATCCGCTGTTTACTATTATAAATTCAAACGGGAACGTGTTTCGAGCACTATGAAGAAGGTGCACCACTCACGAGGATCGCACCTGGTAAAATGTAGAACAACTAGTCCAACGATCCATGGCGGCAGTGAAGGGCAAATCTGGCTTACTGTATTCAGCTCTATGCAGCATAAAAATGAAGCTCTTCCGAATGGTCCTTTTTTACTACTATCTCGAAGCTCTTTCAAAGACTAAAGCCGATTTTCACGCTTTATTTGCCACCTTTGCACTATTCTGTACTGTTACTTCCGTTATTTGACTTGAACTAAGCAACTGCCTCCGGGTAGCTTCTTAGGTGCCGATATCATTCGAAACGGNTGCGGAGGTGCGCGAGAGCAGTGGGGTATCGAGTTCCTATTAGTAGCGATAACGTTAGGCTACCCCCGTCCGAAATAGCATCACTATATTCCCTTAAAAGAAAATGATTATTCTGAAAAACTCTATTTTCTCAGTTGTGTATAACCAAGTGATCTCTATTTCAGTGGCATTTACCCAATGGAGACAGCTGGAAGAATTCAAAAGCACTTAAAATAAAAAATGCCGCAGTCGTTGGTGGTGGTGAGACATCTTTGAAACCGAAGCGGAGACCAACTCAGGAAAATGTCTGCAAATCCTAAAAGAGCTGCATATTCAGGTACTATGGGACGTGGAATCGCCATAGCCCTCAGTCGAGCCGGATATCATACCACATTAGTAGAAAACGACGCAAAGGTGCCTTCTTTTCGATCGTTTTGATCGTTTACTCAAAGGTGTCTGAAACGCTTTATACTCTGAGAAAGCCATTTTGTGGTGAATTGACTCAAAGGATTCTCGTTTACTGGAGCGTGAGCAGGTGGGGTTGCTGAGGTGGCTGGGAATACTTCACTGACAGATCCCTTCTTTCGAACAGAATAGGCACCATTGCAAAGTCATACCGATATTATCTCTAACTTTGAAGACTAGTTCCCCAATATTGTTTCCTTCGAGGGGAATCAGGTTCTAATTTCATAGTTGTTTCGTGGGGAAAATGGTCCCACATGCTTTGAAATAATGTTGTATTCCCTATCGTCAACAGGTTTCCATACCCATCTATTCAAAGGGATTCTGTTTAGAGCTTGGAAATGTGCCGTCGAGGGATGGCAACGACATATGCGAGAGAGCAGAAGCTTGGACGATTCACTCCATCGCAATGTGAAGAGCTAGAAAAAGGCATTCGTCTTACTACGGATTTGAATTCGCTAGAAAACTGTGACTTAGTGAGTATTTCCAGTTGGAAACTTCAATTTTTACCCACTGCTGTAGCAATGTTTTTTGCATTTCTCTTTATACTCACAACATTTCGGATGAGAACATTTCCTTTTCAACATAAAGGTAGTGGGCGTGGTACAACGTGTAGGCGGAGCTTCCGTAATTATTCTGACATTGTCTTGAGAACACAGTTCCCGAGAAGCCATGGCTCGAGGTGGGGATCCGAGGCCGAAGTTGTGCTCTTAGCTCGCCTTCCTTCTGAGACTTTCCAAAAAATTGTTAAGGCATCAATGATGAGTGGACAGAGCTCACAGGAATATTCACACAAGCAAAGTATGAACCATCTTTCAGGTGATTGAGGCCGTGTTCGAGAAAATGAAATTGAAAACTGAATTATTTGCTAAGCTTGATCGGATATGCCCTCCAACGACAGTTTTTGCAACAAACACTTCAAGTCTGGATATCGACGAGGTACAGTACCCTTAAAAACAAAACTACTGTAACTGGGTCCTAGGCCTATTATTAGGTTTATTGTCTTCTAATATATTCCAAAATTTGTTCAGATGAGCTCAGTACTTCATAGGCGTGATCGACTTGTTGGGATGCATTTCTTCAATCCAGCTCATATTATCAAAATGGTAGAAGTGGTACATGGCAAGTATACATCGGCTGAAGCTGTTGCGACGGTTTTCGCTGTCTGTTTTCAGATGAAGAAGGCACGTTCCAGTCATAACCCTTTATACAGGCTGTAATTTACATTTAAAAACTTATTTGACTTGATTTATCTATGGAAGGAGAAGAATCTAAAACTTGCCCATTTAATATAGGACAATTTCCTCATGGAAATAGAGCCAGGGAATGAGTAATTGTGCCTAACTATGAAAATCGTTATGTTTTTCCAGGTGCCTATACTGGTGGGCAATTGCCCGAGCTTTGTATTTAATCGTCTACTGGGTGTCTATCTGAATCAGGCTCAAAAACTTCTCTACCAATACGGGATGTTTCCTCATGATGTGGACAATCTTCTGAAATCCTTTGGACTTATAATGGGACCATTTACGGTGGCTGACATGAATGGTAATTAATTTGCAATTGACATTTTCACATGTTTGAGATATCCGTGTTAAAGCATTTGAGTTACTTAATTTTTACAAAAATGACTAACTGTTCAGTGGATGCTGAAAGACGTTTTCGCTTTGCAGCATCTACTTTAAGGTTTGGATGTTGGTGCTCTGTTGAAAAAGGAACATAGCTATCCACTTAGTCCTATTGAAAAAGAGTTGCTACAATTAAATCGCTTCGGAAGGAAAACTGGTAGGTGCCTTTTTCCTATGAAATGGGATTTGTTTCGAACGGTTTTTAGTCAAGGTTTTAGGATGTAGCGAACTTTGCACTTTCCTAATTTATTCTGGCATCGAATGAAATCAAGCACTCNACTCTCTGCTGAGAGATGAAAAGGAAACCATTTGTGATCGACGACTTATGAATCTTCGATAAATTGCTTCCCATGGGAATGGACCTCGTTTTTTTGCTGCATTTCTTGCTCTTTCCATAGTTTCCCGACTTAACCCAGGAAAATTACCTTTTTTAGTTCTTTCCCTTTGAAGGGCATCGAGACGATGATGGATTATTGAAGAGTTCAGGAAAAGGATTCTACGCGTACGATTCCATCACTCAGAAGAAAAGCAACGATGTGGAAGTTGAAGCAATTATTAGAAAGCTTGTAGAGGGGTCCAGCTACAATATCCGACTTCTATGCGACAGTGTAGGTGCTCGAGTATACTATAAAATAATAAGTATAGTATAAAAAGCAATTTCCGGCTTAGGATGTCATTGAGTTTGTACTTTTCCCAATGGTGAATGAAGGATTTTTATGTGTGGAAGAAGGCATGATCGAGGATGAGTCTCTCATTGACATTATGTTGTAGGTGATTTTCTGTAAAAATCGATAATGCATGCTAAACTGCATGATCATCCGATACTTTGCAGCCTTATGGGTTTCGGCTGGCCACTCGTTCAAGGCGGACCGATGAGATGGGGTAGAAGTATCGGCCTTAGCAAAATTGCTCGAAGTGTTGCTCATTGGNTGATCATCCGATACTTTGCAGCCTTATGGGTTTCGGCTGGCCACTCGTTCAAGGCGGACCGATGAGATGGGGTAGAAGTATCGGCCTTAGCAAAATTGCTCGAAGTGTTGCTCATTGGCAGCGAATGGGTTGGTTGAATTCTATTTGGTTTAAAATTCCGACAAATATTTTCTAATCATTTTAGAACCAAACGATCGAAGCTATCAACTGTCCAATTCTCTGATCAAGTGCATTCAAGAAAGATCTCATATTTGAGAAATATTCTCCTCGGAAACCAATAAATGAATTTTTTCCATCTGGTATGCTTCCACTAATGAAATTCCATAATCTTTAGGCACATTTGCTGCTTCTGCTAATGCTGGCACTGTAGTTTCTCTAATCAGCATGTGATTCCTTGAGAATGATCAGGAAGTGAGAACTCACTACTTTGACTAGTATGGAACTCGCTAGTAGCGAAATAAAATGAATTTTGTCCTCTGCTAAGATAGTCAAACATCCCTATGTAGGACTCCTGTTATTTCCTATATTTACCTGCTGATGATGATTTCTATGACCTTTCAATTGAACCTTGGAAAATTTGAACACTTTAAATGGTCTAGTTGGTCAGAAGAAGGTTCTAAGCAAGAAGAAGATGTTTAGTAGGTTTCGAGAAGCTTCGGTTGGATACCTCATTTCCGAACTGGAACTGTACCTTCACGCGCCACACCTCTTTACATTTCTTCTCCTTCCCTATACAAGTGGGGTACCTGTAAAATATCTAAGTAGGGAGTCTTGCAAGGAACGCAGGTAAAGTTTTCGCTACGTCTCAAAATTTTATTATGCGAATGGCGATTTTTGGGAATATCTCTAATTTCCGAGCACTAGTACTCCAGCTAATGTAGAGAAAATAAACAGGACGGTTCCATAAAAGTAATTTCTCGACGGCACTCACAGGTGGCTGAATGGGTAATTGTGTACCTGAAGCACCAAAAGCACCAACCTACAGCCTAGATGCATTCTATGCAGCCGTACGATCGTAAAGTATTTTTCACTGGTTTTCTCTGACTAATATCTTACGGCCTATTACTATAGGCACAGGTGATAATGGTGTCAATACGTTCTTAACTGCTAGTAATCGGCATTTATAACGACTGGAATTAGGAAGTTTTTCATTGCAAAACAATGCATTTTCACCTTGTTGTGCAGGTCCTCATACTGTAAACATTCCCTCCTCATATATGAGTACCTTACCCATTCTTTGGCTTTAGCTTTAAACGGATTTGCGTACAAGTAAACACCTATATGAAACATTCGAGAATTTTGCCTTTTAAGCTTTTCGTCGTCAAACTTCTGTTGGTATTGTTCAAATAGATAGAGTCCCTTACGATAGTCGCTTCCCGATAATTTTCATAACTTCTTTTGACTCTTTAGTGAAAAAGCCAACTGCGTTCTGGGAACAGTGCTAAAATAAGGTCCATTAGGTCTAGTTTTAAAGTTTTCCCAAGATTTCTATTGGGCTTTGACTCCCACTTTTCCTGATTGAAATACAAAAATACAAATCTAATGGTGCAAGAATAACAATGCAATACCCAAAGTTGTAGTCTATGATCATCAATACTCTATTTGTTATAGTGCAATGGGTAGCTACAATTGCTCTACCCCGACTTTTCCGCTGATCGGATCAGGCCGCATATTTTATGTGGCATCTTGTACCGTGATCATTATCCTCTCTATCGCACTACAAACGATTTTTGCCATGGTAAGAGCTCTCGATTTTGAAAAACACGAAAAATTTGGGTAAAAAAATGTGTACCATTTGCTGCGTGATGTAGTTATTAGGGTGTCCATAAAGTTCGTTGGCCATTTATAAACAGCGTCGCGTTACGCAACGCGCTGTGACTTTGCATAATGATTTCACAGTACTGAAAGTATTCGCGATGGGCTACGACCATGTGCGTCAGCAGTTTGGTGATATACCACCCCTTCTAAGAACAGGATGTCGAAATGGTGGACTCGCTTCATCATTAAAAACAATGGCATCGAAGATAGCCGAAGTCCGGTCGCCCAGCAACTGTCGCTCACAAGGCATTCTGGATACCCTGGACGATGAACCGACGCCGTGCTTGTGCGACATAAGCAAGGTCACACAGGTACCCCGTTTCACCATCCACAAATTCCTTATTGAATTTGGCAAGGTGTCGTAGAAGCGTCGAGTTGTCCCTCAGGACTTCACGCCGGCACAGGCACGGAAGCGGGTTGAGGTGGACTCCTACATCCTCAGACTCAGAGGCCTTAGGAAGATTCTGGACTCTACCAGTTGCCAAGGTAAAAAGTGGGCTTACTATTCAAATCCTGCCAACAAACCAGTCAGGGTGGTTTTCGATGCGCCCCCGCCAAGCCGTGCAAAGAGAAACATGCATGGAAAGAAGCGCCTTCTGTCATTCTGGTTCTCTCGCCACAGCGTCGTCCACTACAGCATCCTACCCAACAATGCCACAGTGACGGCAGAGATCCTCTCTAAAGAACTGCAGGAGTTCAAGGTGAAAGCTGCCGCCTTATCCCAGAAAGTTGCAAATCCGTGGTTGCTCTGGGACAACGCGCGCCCACACAAAGCGAGAGATACATACTCAGGTCGTCCTGGACAGGCTGGGCATGAAGACGGTCACGCATACACCGCATAGCCCGAATCCAGTCCATGCGATTACCACATCTTCCGGTCCATGCAAAATTTCTTGGACGGAAAACAGCTGAAGAATGAGCGCGACCTCGAAGACGAGATCGAGGATTGGGCCGAGTCGCGGCCGGCCGGCTTTTTGGAAGATTGAGTTGCTTCTCTCGTTCATTGGCGAAGGGTGGTGGGTATGCATGGAGATTATATCATGGACCAGTAACTTGGTGAGTTATCTTTACAAACTACAAGCTCTTAAAAAGCGATTGGCCAATAGTTGTTAGCGTCTGTTAGCCAAAGCGATGTAGTGGCCAGAGGCGTCCTATCACACGCCCATGATCCTAGTATCGAACACCCTACTCACCTAGCTTTATCGAGTCTGTCATCGATTTGGAGTTTATTATTTGGTAGACCCCACCTGGAATTGAATCACTGAACTGGGTTACACCAGCAGCGAGCCGTTGCTACATACGTCTTCGAGCGCGCTTCGTGAAATTAAAATGCTCGGACAGACCCTTAAAGCCAATGCCATAAACCTCATCCATTATCCTTCATCTGGCCAAGCAGATCAAAAAATCTGCATCTGTTTTAAAATGGTTACTTTTTAAAACTGATGCAGATTCACGTTTAATACCTTTTTTCTAGTTACGCCGCGCATCCTAGTTTTATTCACTGCTTCAGAACATTTTAATGCGTACATGTGCCACGAATTATCAGAGCATTCGATAAAACAGCTTACCTTTGCTCCTCGCTGGTTGTTCCCTCTTGAGTTAATTCAATTTTTTTCAGACGTGCCAGAAAATGAAGGGCTGGAAGTCGGACTTTGCTTTTTATCTTCTCCAGCTCATGGCAATATTCAGCTTTCTTAGCTACATCGGATTGTTGGTGTCATATATTCATGGACTTATTCTCTTTGATTCATCTGAACTTTCAAGGGTAACAAATTCACCCGTAAACTTTTTCACCACTGCTCTTTGAGTTTGCCGTTGAACTACCCTTCCAAATCGGCTCTGCACCTGGGAGCAACGACTGTATTCCAGATAACAGGATCCAATTATCAGGGCAGTTTTTTCGCTTTCGTAATCGCCAATCTGTGTCTCACCGTTCATCGCCTATTCTATACTCTACTTCCGCTCAGATCACAATTTATTCTCACGACGACAGTTGAAAGGGTGACCGACTAAATTTCTATTATGTTCAAATTATAACGACCCCGTACACAATCAAATCCTAGGGATGCGAAGTCAGTGTAAGGTTTTGAAACTGCTACGCCACTGATCATTACTGGTTTGCACTGAGAAATCATTGAGTCAAAAACTCTCGAATCCTTTGCTGCTCACTTTGAATTCCTTTCGCGACTTGGGGTTATCTTCAGGAGAAATTAAAGTTGTTCCTCTTTAGAAAAAAAATGACACTGGGCTGCACTCTCTGAAAATCTCACACTGGATATAAAAACTCAAAGCTTTGGAGAAAATGAGCATTCATTTCTCTATCTAGCTTTGCTGTGGACCTTACATTTATGCCAAACAAAGAAGTTTTTTATTTGTTCATTGGAAAACGACGATTTGTTGAACGATTAATGATCTGCAGATATGCATCGCTTCTATTATTCTCTTTTATATTGCATACATGGCGATTACTTTGTCACCGTTGGCATCTGTGGAATTCTGTGCTGCCCACTTTTTTTTCTATTTTGGGCGGGCACCTCTTTATCCGGCTATTTCATTGTGGGTTCAAACTTTAAGCGAACCTTTTTCATTTACTCTTTCCAACTATTATTTATATCGTAGGCTGAATCAAATATCTAATTATGTGATTGGTATAGTGAATGTGTCAGCTTACACTATCATGTTTGCCACATTGTTTATCAAAGGATCACTAACCTTCAGAAGAAACAGCGAGATACGCATGACTGTCCAGGTAAAAAGAATTCTATTCAAAGTATCATCTAATATTTAGCTTACTATTATTAGGTTTTGAGGGAGTAGCCCTCAACTTCAATTGCAGAGTAAGCACATATTTCGAATAAACGCAAAAGAGGTTGACTGCTACTCGTTACGCTTATTTGGCAGTCTCCGTAACTCATGAATCTTAAGTGTTTTCTTTTTAGAGCGTGCCTGTTGCCTGCATGTTGTTGAAGCATAAGAAGTTTAGGCGGATCTCGAAAATGTGGCTCAGCGCTAGTACTTTCCAAGTCTCATGATTGATTATACTCCGAATTTCAATCAAATGTATTTTCACATTGAGTCTTCCGAAACTTGTCCTATGGGTTGGAAGCTGTCGAAGTGCTACTGCTTTTTTTCTCAGATTCCGTGCTACTATATAAGAGACGAATGCCTGTTTCTTACGAAAATTTTTTTAGGCAGCGCTAGTATCTGCTTGCGAATTGGCTTTCTTTCTTTATTGGGAATATGGACC